CTTCGGCGGAGAAAAGCAGCGGCTGCGCCAAGAGCGACAGGTGTTGGCCGCGCCTTTGTCTCGGCCAGCTTTGTCCCGCGAGCAGGCGGCGGGCGCGCCTGTGTCGCCCAGACGCCCGCGACCCCCGCCGGGGCCGCCCATCTGCCCGCCCGCCTCGCGGCGGGGGGCGGTGCGCAGGCGGTTGGTCTTCGCCCTTGGGTAGCGCCCTGGGGACGCTGGCCCCGCGCCAGCTCCACCTGCCTTGGTCCCGCTGCCGCCTGGCAGTGTCCAAACGCTGGGATGCCTTCTGGGAACCTGGCCGGCTGGGCCGGCCCCGCGGCAGCACCGAGCCCTTGCCCACTCCTGCGCCACTCACCGACGGCTGGGAGTGTCGGGGTCTTTTCTGAGCGCGTCTAGGCTACGAGCGTCCCTGGTCCAGGGCAGTCTGACCTAGGACCCCTTCTCCACCCCTCCCGCACCCCAGCACAGAGCCTGGCCTGGCAGAAGCACTGCGTGGGCAGCGAAGGGGAGGGGTGTCCCTAGCCTGACTGGAAGGCTGCAAGGGAGGGGACATGGAGGGACCGCAGCGGTTGAGCAGAGTGGCAGGACTAGGCCGCAGTCCGCCCCACAACCCTCCTAAAAATGGGTCGGGCAGCCCACCGAGGGGTTCCCGCAGGCTTCAGGCTGGGCAAGTTTGGTGAGAGGTTTGAAGGTTCCCTGAGTCACCTCACCGACCTTTACAACCACCTGGGAGCCCTTCCTGCCCACTCTCACCTGTCCCAGCTCTGCCTTTGGGTTGCTCCTCTATGAGCAGGCCCCTGAGACTTCCTGCAGCCACCATCACCGAAGGAGTGTGAACAAATCTGAGCTGCTTCCACCCACCCTCCCTGGGCTGCTCAGAGACCCAGCTGCCCTCCCCATGCCCCACTGCTCATGGTGGAGCTGGTGGGGGTATGCGGTGGTGGGTGCCGCAGGAGTCCGTAGCTGGCCTGTGACAGCTCTCCTTCACTACTTAGACATCACCCCGGGAAAGGAGACCCCAAGTGCTACAATTAAGTTTCTACCACTTTGAGAAAGTGAGGTAGGGAAACATAAACTCAGTGATATTTCTTGTATTCCCAAGTTTGCAAACCGATTTATACTCCTCCCATTATCCACGTGAAGGAGGCTGAACAGATGTTTAGGATGCTCTCGGTGAAAGGCAATTCATACTGGAACTAGATGGTCAGGGCCTTGCGGGAAGCCTCTGGGAAAAGCCCAACAGAACATCTGATTGGATGGGAGAACTGGTATGTGGGGGGAAGGGGACATAACAGAGGCAAATGGCGCAAGCAAAAAATGGAAGGCAACTAGGAACTCCAGGAAAAACAAAAAGCTGCCCAAGAAAAGAAACGTAGCCTTAGCACATTACCTGGCTTAGGAGTCAACAATTCTTTTACAATCATAACAATGGAACATTGTTCATAGGGTTTCAACATTTAGAATCAATCTACAGAAAAGGCTATGAAGGCTTATTTATGGTTATAGGGCACGATATAAAGTTGACTGTAAAAACAAAAGGACAGGTGATATCGGAGAGGGAGGAGGCCGAAGGGAGGGCTAGGACCTCAAAAGCCTTGTCTGACACAGTGTGGGAGGGGTTGAAGAATACTGTCTAGAGTTGAGGGAAAGAGAAATTAAGTACTGGGATATGCCTCAGTATGACCAAGTAGCCTTGAGGGGAAAGAGCTTACGTAGAAAAGGCTGTGCGAGTGAGCAAAATCCTTCTTGGCTGGACCGATGTTGCCCAAGGTCCCATCTACAAAGTCAGCTTTGATTTCCTTTAGTGGTCTATTGGCCACTGGCTTGGCCCAGAAGCCTGGCTACCCCATCTTGGGGCCACCAAGCCCTCCCTCCCTCCTTCACACAGCCTGCCCTAGCTGATACTTCCTGCCATTTGTCCTTTGGGCCCATCTTGCCTTCAAAGTTTGCCTGAGCACAGACTTCCTGAGCATTTGGGCACTTTGATCCCCCCGAGCCAGGAATAGAGGCCAGCAGAGGCTGGGCAGGGCCTTGGTTGCCACTGGGGGGACCAGTTAGCAGCAGGAGTGGCAGGCCATAAATCCATGGGGAACAAAGGCAGCGGCCAGCCGCAGTCATTCAGGCCCCTCGTGGACAGTCTGTCCAGGAGACTTAGAGAATCTCCTTTTGGTTTGGAAATAAAGGAGGGGGGCACCCTTGGGCTTATATGGTAAATAAAAATGCAAGTGGGAGTCTCCGACAGGCACTCAGAAGCTCAGTGAGACACCCACAGCCGGCCATTTAGGGCAGTCTGCAGAGGCCCCTGTGCTTCCAAGGAGGACAATGCCTTTTGTCCCTCGTCGGTACTTGGTGTTAGGCAGCCAGGCCAGGAGGCCTGCTCAGGGAGCTTCTGGGAGGCTGGACATTGGGTCCAGACCTGTTCGTCTCTCTGCTCCAACTCCCAAGGTCCTGGTTTGAAAAGTGAGAGGTGAGGTGGGGGGAGTGGGCTCTTCAGGCCTCCCGTCTTGGTCTCACAAGGTTTCATCACTGTGGCAAGAAGGGCTGAGAGGGAGACAGTGCCGTGTTGTCTGTGTCATCCCCGATGGGGACACGAGGTCTTTCTGGTAGACCATCCTTCTAACTGGTAGACCATCCTCACTGCCATTAGCCCCGGTGGCCAGAACACAGGCAGCCAGAGGGAGGGCCAGCTAAGCAGGAGCGGGGACAAGGGAACAGAGTGGGTGCCTGGGGTCAGAGTGGGGAGCACCAGGGGTGTAGCCAGGCAGCACAGCCCTCAATTTGCAAGTGAAAAGACCGTGGGGGCAAATGCACCATTAGATTTGCATTATAGAACAGTTCACTCTCTCACACTCCCAGAAAGGAGACCAGCAAGAAGCGAACTGTATGAGGCCGGCGTCTGAGGCATTTGGAATTGAGGTTCCTTAATGCAGAATTTCTTGAGTTCTTTTTTTTAAAAAAATCTTTTGATAATCTTTGATCTCTATTCAGGTTTTCCTCCATTAAAAATACGTACTGCTAAAAATAAAAATATACTTGCTTTATTTACCAGTTTTCTAAAAGGCAAAAAGGTCATAAAAAGACACAAGCGGTCAAACAAATATATTGCACTGAGTGAAGAAAGTTTGGTTTGAACACAAACAAACCACTTGTCCGGCAAGGCTCAACAAATCATGACGCAAACTCTGAGAGCTTATTTACATACCCTTTTAGGAATATATTAAAAAGAAGGCTCAGTTTAAAATAGAGAAAAAGTTTTCAACACCCATGTAAGCACACGTACTAAAGAAAATGACTCGAGGCTTCGCCTCCCATGTAAACAAAATCACAAAATGACTCTATTAAGTCAACTTCTCAGCACACGTTGAAGCTACAGTTAACAATCAGAGAGCATATATTAAATGATAAAATAACGCTGATGGCAAACATTCGTAACAGGAGCGTGAGAACGTTTTGGCAGTTTTATGTTTAGGTAACAAAAATGTAACCTTAGATTATCGCCTATCCCCTTATGATCTGACTTCAGAGGCAGAAAGCAGTTTCTAACATCTAATTTCCATAAAAATAGGTTATAACCTTATCTTGGGCATCTGAAGGTGACATTACTTTGTATATTAAAAAATAATTAAGGTGTTCCTTTAATAAGATCAACATTCAGGCGTAAGATGGTTTCACTATGAAAACCGACTGGGTCACAAGGACATTTCACCTTTCTTGTAGCCATTTCCCGTCAAAGAAAGAGGACAGCCCTGCTTCCGTTCAAGGTCCGATTTTAAGTCAATTGTTTCATCAGTAATAACTCCGCATTCACACCAGGGACCATTATTAAATTTTCCAAGCAACCTTTGGATATATGATGCGACATGAGGCTTTGTAAAAAGTCAGGCAGATCGACCTCACTTTCCCCCAACTGTCCAAATGACCCGAAAGTTCTGCTGCTCTTGGCAGAGCTGTGAGGCTGCACCAAGTGAGCCCCGGCTCGTGGTCTGAGGAGGCCAGACGATGTACAAAGAGGGTCTGGTGCGTTCATCTGACGGAGCTGGTCACACAAACCACCAGGCTCCTTTAGTCCAGAGCAAATGTTTCGACTTTGTTCACCATAAACAAAAGTGACATCGGACTGAAATATTGACCACTACAGTGCCTAAAGCCAAAGCTGCTGGTTTGCCAAACTATGCTTCACCATTTAACGGGAAACACTTTGAAAGAAAATTAAGAGAGGCTGTAATCTCCACTTGGTACGTTAAAGAGAAAATCTAGCTTGACTAAAGGAAAATTTAGATAGAAAGCAGCCCCCAAGAATTTGATCTGATCAAACACACCCTGGGGAAGCTCTGAAAGGCCAGAGTCCTCAGCCTGGGGTCCCACGTGGCGCGGCGTCCCGGGCCTCTGTGGCAGCCGTGGGCGGCGGGGCACTGGCAGGGCTCATCCCCCGTGAAGGACTTCGGAGAGCCGGGCGGCTTCCCTGACACTCACGCAGAGGTGCTGCAGTCTTTCTCAAGTTAAGTAACGATTATTAACAAAATCTCTTCCCCCATCCCACAGAACTCCATATTTATATTTTAAATATAAAATTGTATTTCTTCCCCAACCTTCTCCACCCTCCAGTTTTAAGTCACTCCTTCAGAAAACTAGGGTTTTTTTCTAAAACAAAAAAGCAACATAGGTATATGTGTCCATTTCATTAGAAACAAAAGTGAAGATCCTTCTCTCTTCTAAGCACCATCTAATGTAGATCACTGGCTGTCAAGGCGGGGGGTGGGGTTATGTCTGTTCTTCCTTCTTGTGACTCAAGGGGGGCCCATTTTCCTCTTCTTTGGTGTCTGATGCTTCGCTTTGTCCCAGAGAAGGAATATCTTCCTCGTATGGTACACAAACGTTGCCCTTTTCCTCGTTTTCACAGTAAACACATTCCTTAAAAGAAAAACATGTGACATCAGTAACTACCATGAGATCTGAGGTCTATTACAAAACCGTCATTCAAACTGAGTAAGGTGCAGGTGACCAGGTGTCAGCCGCGAGGCTGCCAGCAATAAGGACAAAAATCCCTGCCACAGGAGGTGACGTTCCAGGAGAGGAGGGGGACAGTGACCTCAGTAGGAAGGCTCCACAGTATGCTCAGAAAGGAAAAGCGCTGTGCTGACGTGGAACAGCGTGCACAGAGCGTGTGTGTGGGGGGACATCTGTGATTTTCAACTGGACATTCAGGACAGGCCACGGGAAAGGTGACACAGCGCTTCTGAAACATGTCCACACGTTCTCTGCCACCCTCCCTCAGAAGATGAGAACTGATCCTCCTCCCCTTCAGCCTGGGCTGGACTTAGGACCTCGTCTCTGACAAAGAGAGCCTGCCTTCTGACTCTAGATTGTAAGAGCACTGGGATTCCTCTTGTTCTCCGGGGAAGTCACCTGCCATGTCACAAGGACACCCAGGCAGCCCTATGGAGAAGTCCCCATGGCAAGGAAGTGAGGCCTCCTGCCACCGGCCAGCACAGCAGACAGGCCTGTGCATGGGCCTCCGTGGAAGCCTCTGGCAGCCTTCAGATGACAGAAGCCTCGGCCACTATCCTGCCTTCAAACTCAGGAGAGAGCCCGAGTCAGAACCACCAGCTAAGCTGCCCTCAACTTCCTGCCCCCCAGGAACTGTGAGAAAACACACGTTTACTGTTTCAGGCCACTACGTGTTGGGGCCATCTGCTACGCAACAACAGAGAACTAGTAAGTGGCACATGAAAAAAAGACCTGAAGGAAGCCAGAGTGAGCCATGCACGCATCTGAGGAAAGAGGATTCTAGAGGGAAGGGCAGGTGCAAACATCCTGTGGCCACAGGCCAGCAGGGAACAGCCAAGAGGCAGCGGAGCTGGGGAGGAAAGTGAGGGGAAGAGACCAGGCAGCTCAGGTGGGGAATGTGAGGCAGGGCAGGCCCGTGTGGCCGCCCACCGTTTATTCTGATGGAGACGGGGCAGTGCTGGAAGGGTCTGAGCTGCAGGTGACATGGTCTGATTGCCCAGGGACACGGGGAATGCTGAGTGCAGCTGGGGGCTACTTTGACATGGGGGTGCATCCTCGTGGCTTGGACATGGGTGGTGGCACCGCTGGTGATGAGAAGGTTGCGCTCGACTTTGCTAATGGACGCGGGGCGGGGTCTTGGGAGAAGGAGGGCTCAGGACCACTCCAGGGTCTGTGGCCTGAGCAGCGGAAGGATGCAGTAGCCCTCCAGGGAGGCGGAAGGGGGCGGAGCGGGTTTTCTCTGAGGGTGATGAGCAGCTCAGCAGAGGGCTGGACCGCACATGGACGCCAGGGGTCTCCGCACACAGACGCTACTTCCAGTCTGTGGCTGAGAGATGATCTGGAGGGAGCGCAGACAGAAGAGAGGTGCGGACACTGAGCCCCAGCAGGGAGACCAGGGGTCGGAGAGTAGCCCCGAGGCCAAGGGGAGGCAGAGCTCCAAGGAGCAAGGTGCCCCCTGCTCACTGCCGCTAGCTGTCCCCCAGGGCGAGGATGGCGAGGCCTTGGGGGCAGCAAGGCATGGTGGGCGGCACTGCCTGGGGTGGGAGCAGAGAGAAGGGCTGGAGGGACTCGCTCCCGGGGAGCCTGACGGCTGTGAGGCTGCTTAATGGTCTCCACGGATACTGAGTGTTTATGACGGGAGAGGCCTTGTTTTTTGAAAACAGGAAACAGAATTGAGCAAAGGGGAAACGTTCAGTTCGCAGCAAGGGGTTGCGATTGGATTTTCCTGCCTTTGTAGAAACCACGTTGAAACCCGTCGGAGGAAAGTTCTTCCAAGCAGACTTAATGGTCTCACGGCACCTTTCTTTAAAATAAACTTTAGGTTTAGAAGTTTTACGTTTACAGAAGTTATGAAGACAGCACCGAGAGCTCCCATCGCAGTGCTCCCAGCGCCGCGTCAGAAAGCACGAGCCGGGGCTTACCGCCACGCCGAGGGCCGGGGGCAGGCTGCCCGTCTGCATCCATGGGTGCACCTCGCACAGCTCCCGCCGCTCGCTCTCCGTGAACCTGGGCTGGAATTTCTGCAGCAGCTTCAGCTTCTCTCTGTCCTCCTTCAACACCGTTTCTAAATTTCTTCACAAAATATTTAGAAATAGGCAGCCTTCAGAATGTTTTAAGGTTTTTTCTAAAGAGTACATTCATTTTCTTTCTTTCTTTTTTTTTTTTTGAGACAGAGTCTCACTCTTTTGCCCGGGCTAGAGTGAGTGCCGTGGCGTCAGCCTAGCTCACAGCAACCTCACACTCCTGGGCTCAAGTGATGCTTCTGCCTCAGCCTCCCAAGTAGCTGGGACTACAGGCACGCGCCACCATGCCCGGCTAATTTTTTCCTATATATTTTTAGTTGGCCGATTAATTTCTTTCTAATTTTAAGAAAAGCCGGGGTCTCGCTCTTGCTCAGGCTGGTCTCGAACTCCTGAGCTCAAACAATCCACCCGCCTCCGCCTCCCCGAGTGCTAGGATTACAGGCGTGAGCCACCGCGCCCGGCCGAGTACATTCATTTTCTATCCACTCTTTCAATATTAATATGCAGTTTTAGATGATTTTATTCAATGTAAATTTGCTTTCCATTTAAAATAAATTACGCTGTTTAAATTAACTTAATCTCCCTAGTTAACCTGTAGTCTTCTCATTAAAGTGACAATGTGGGTCAAGACTTAATTTTACCATATTTTAAACTAAATGTGGGGCTGGGGGTATCTGCAGGTGTGGCCTCGCCCCTCGGCCTTGGTTCTGCGCAGGTGTGGTTAATCCGGGAAATTCTTACCGCCCAGATGGTAGGTAGGGCAACCTTCCCAGCCCCCAGCCAAGACTGGCCAGAGACGGAGACGCAGCCTCCCCCAGCCAACCAGAGGCTTCAGGGGTTAATCCTTCCTTCCTTCCTTCCCTCCCAGCTTCCCCTGCCGGGGGTGCTATGCCAGGGCAGGGATCACACCTAGTTCCACACCGCAGCCTGACATGGACTCAGAGCCTGGGCACAGAGCCAGGTCACCACCAAACAGCTGGCAGCCTTGGGCTGGTCACCTACCTCGACCTTCGGCTTAGTCAGCTCTAAGACACACAGACAGACACCTCATTTACCCCACAGGCTTACGGGCAGCGGAGCCAAAGAGCTGACTCTGGCGCCAGTGCTTCACCAAAGCTGACCTCCCTCCTTGCCGGCTGCAGGGCGTCCCTCCACGGGGCTCCGCAGGCCCCGGCCATCACCCAGAGGGAAGCCCGCTTCTCTCTGCTGCCCTCGACTAAATCTAGATCTTTCAGAGTAGCGTCCTGCCCTGTACTGTTGTTTTTGGGAGCTCCTTAAGCCCAGCCCTCCCTGGTTCCTAGGAAGAGGCCAGGCGGTTACCGGGAAGGCAGCTGGTACGTCATCATGATGCTGTCGTCCGCGTCCGCCATCAGCAGCCAGATGGGGTCCTGCAGGACATACTTGATGAAGCGCTCACTTTCTCCCAAGCCTGTGCTCAGTTTCGCTTTGTGATTATTCTCTGAAGAGTCGATGCTCCCAAAATATTTGCTGGTATGACTTGTGTCACTGCTGCCTTTAAAAACACAAAATGTGGTGGGTCAAAATCTTGAAATATAAAATTAAACCTTGCCTAATGTGCTTACGTAAAGTCACGACAATTTTAGAGGACCGAAGAATTTTAACAGGTAACAAGTGTCTGTGTTGGTGGGTTTTCCCCTTCTCTTTCCAATTCTGGGAGGGTCTGGAGATCAGAAACAGGATATCCGCTAGTACCATGGGGGTGGACCTTTCCTGGGAGGCCCCGAGAAGCTCGGGTGGAGCCGTGCCGTGGAAACCTCGGCCCCTCTCCCAAGCTCGCACCGTCTTCCGCCCAGCCAGACCACAGCGCAGCGCGGGTTCCTAAGGCGGAGGCAGCTGCCGGGGCACTCCGCAGCCAGCCTCACCCAGGAGAGAGGCCTTGAGGCCAGGTGACGCGCAGGCTCACTCCAGGGAAGGAGGGGAGCTTAGGTCTGTGGACCGTGTGTGCGTTTCTGGTTATGGTGGTTCCAGATCACACTGGAAAGATCCCAGTCAGTAAAGGCTTACGAGTGGTCCACACCCTGTGCCCCCACAAGTGGAGCTAACCCAGGAAGGCAAACCACTCCCCGGGGAGTCTGAGGGATGGTCCGTCGAAGGGCTGGCAGGGCGAGGCCTGCAGTGACACGGCGATCAGCAGCCACAGGTAGGCTACGGAATTCCCGCTGGCCGGGGAGAGCGTGTGAAGTGCGCGGGCGCCGAGCGACTGCCCTGAACATAGGGTCAGCCTGGGATTCTGGCGCATCCAATGTCCAAGCGGCCCAGTACAGGCCCACGCCCCCAGGACCGACATACCTGCCCCACCGCGGGAAGCGTCGAGGCCCAGCGAGCTGGAGCCCAGCGAATCCGAGGCGGCGGAGGCCGCGCTCCCAGACAGCGCTGAGCCTGAGGCCGAGCAGAGGTCGTCGTTCAGTAAGAGGTTCAGCAGGTCACTGGATGTGGACAGGGCGTCACTGTTCTGGGCGTCTGAGGGCTCAAGGCGCTTCAGGGACAGGGAGAAGAAGACATCGCTGTTCAGGGGCCTCACTCATGACAACACACAGCAAGGCTGGGCGGGGTGGGGGGGAGCTGCCAAGAGGCCTGCAAGGTCCTCAGGGGACACGAGTCCTGCCTTCGTGTGCCGCAGGAGCAGATCACACGGTCCCTGGGACCACAGTGAGGATCTGGCTGGTGCGCTACGAATGCCATCTGATCACGTCTAATTTCAGGAGCGTCGCACCGAGGCCTGCAGTGCTTGGGTCCCCGCGGGGAAGAGCCGCAGCCCTGCGCAGCAGACGGGCAACTGGGAGAAAGCCCCGCGGCACCCAGGCCTGCCCCTGCAGGTGGGGGCGCTGCGCTGCCAGGGGGGCTGCCTTGGGAATGAGGGAGGGGTTGGCCTGGAGAGCACCCTGCCCCCCATGGGCCCAGAACCCCAGAAACCAGTCAGGAGGTGGGAGACGCGCTGGGAGAACCAACGTGTTTCCGAGGTTCCACTTCCTCACGCAGGAGCCCCCCGCACTCGGCGCGGCAGGGACCCCAGGACAGCACCCTCCTTCGAGGGCCTGTGGGCTGCACTTCAGCTAACGCTTCCACACGCCCGCCCACGCTCATTTGGAAACACACGAGCGCTTGGTTGCAAATAAAGTTACCATTTCATGAACTGATTAAGAATCCCACACCGTGACCCTAAGGCTTCGGAGGGCGGACACGAGGGTAACCACGGTTTTGGGCTTTGAAAGCACCATTCCCCTCCTCCTCCTCCTCCCTGGGCACCTGAGCCAGGCTCTCTGGCACTGCCCTCCGAGGAGCCCGACTTCTGGCATTTCACTGGTTGTGCTTTATCTTTGAAGAGTCATTTAAGAAAGTTGAGGCCCAGAGGTGGGTGCAGTGGTGCGAGCCTGTAGTCCTAGCTACTTGGGAGGCTGAGGCGGGTGGATCACTTGAGCCCAGTTTAAGACCAGCCTGGGCAACATAGCAAGATCCCCATCTCAAAAAGACAAGAAATTTGAGGCCCATAAATGCTGTCGACCAGTCACTATTTAGACCCTGCATTTACATAGACCACCTATCATCTTTCATTCAGATCCCTAGACAACAAAAAGCTCCGAATAATGTATTCTGACGGGATCGTTTAACTGGGGAACACTAATTTCAGGCCCACGTATGCAGGTCGAAACCTCCACAGTCTGGTGGAGACCTAAAGCGCGCAGAGGCCGTGCCCGTGCCGGGAGCGCGGCCTGCTTTGGGAAAAGAGCATCGGGAGATTCTTACAGTTGGAGACACCTTTGGCTGCCGGTCCCGAGAAGTGCCAGGTTTGCAGTCTGGCCCTGAAGCTGCTGTCCCTGAGGCTCCTGCTGTCCCCACAGCCCCAGTGCCACTCTCAGGGGCCTCCTCCAGCTGCAGCAGGTTGAGCTGCAGGGGTGAGCTGCCACGGGACTGGAAGAGTGGCGGGGAGGTTCGGCCCGCCGCTGATGGTGGGGTGGCCGGGGTGGCCGGACAAGCGTATGGCTGTCTGGGGATCGAGGTCTGGCCTGGTAACTCGGGCTGTGAGGCAGGCGTCATCTCGGACACAAGTGTGGGGTGGCCTGGGCAGTGAGGATGGCCGGGGAAGAAGGCCTGTGGCGGGCTAGGGGGCGCCAGGGGGAAGGAATAGCTGGGCAGCACGAATGCCATGACAGGGGCCAAGGGGGCAGGGAAGGGCGGGGGCTGGACTGCAAACTGGTGCTGGGCGTCCATGGGCACCGTAGGCATCGTGAAGCTGGCGTGGGGAGCCACAGGCGGGGCTGCCACGGTCCCCGCCGCTGGAAATATGGGCAGGGAGTAAGCTGGCACAGGAGTGGGAAAGGGCACGGCAGGGCAGCTGGACTGGGACGTGTCTGAGGGTGACCAGGCAGTGGCATTCAGGCCTAAGAGTGGCGGCCGGTGGGGCACGGGACCCCCAGACCCGGTGCTCTCAGAGGACTCTCGAGGCTTGACCCGTTTGGACTTCAGTTTTCTGCTTTTTCCAGCTTTTTTCCAAGATGAATCTATTCCAGAAGGATTTCTTAGTCCAGAGGCAGCTAAAATATGGAAAGACCAGCTGAGTTAAAATTTAAAAACGTATGTGATTCCCATCACGTCCATTCTCAGAGACCTGCACAATTTCAGAAACTTGCAGGAGCCTCTTGGTCAACAGTCCTTTGTTCCAAACGCCAGCCCGGGGGCCACCTATGGACCCCTGCTCCGCGGGGTAAAGTGAGAAAAATCAGGACAAAACGATAGGTTTTCCATAAAACTAAATTCAATCAATTTGAAGAGCAGCCCTTAATTGTAGGGTCACATTCTTTCTTTTCTTCTGGCATTAAAATTTCTTTTTCTTTTAGGAAATGCTAATGTAAGTGATATTTAAAAAGGTAAAAAGTTTCTATTTGTATAAATAAATAAATAAGCAGGCAAATCTCTGCTGTTCCCCAATATTTGGGTAAAAAAATTGGTTTATGAAATCTGAAAGGTAGACCCGCTGACCTCATCTGACTTTCTTATTTTTCAATTTTATAAGCTAGCTTTATCACACAGAGATGTTTCCTCTTTCTCCTGTCAAATAAAGCCTCCATGCAGTATCGGAGAGGAAAGTCTGCTTTCGGAACCAAATTCTTCCTCTCTAATGACAAGTGCTGTTGAGACAGGCTTTCCCAGGAGGATGGAGGGACTTAGCCGGTGACAGAAGGGACTCTGGGTGTTTCCCCAGTGCCCCCGGGGGGTCCAGGGAACCTTAGTTCCTCTCGTATCTCACAGAGTGAGTTGGGGCTCCTGCAGCAGGTGTCCGGGGGCATTTGTCAGCTGTGCCAAGGAGTCCCAGGCCTTTGTGACGTACTGAAGGTGACGGGGCCAGCCCGAGCAACTTGCCAGTGAGTGGAGGTTTTGCAACTCAGCCTCTCCTATCTGCTGTGCTTCCTGCAAGAGATCTGTCCCCTCGTGGGACTAGTGGCTAAGGCACTGGATTTCTGGGATAACAATCTGGGTCTCGCAGGGCTGCAGAAGGGATCTTTTTCTAAATTCTACAAAGTTCACCATGGCCTGGCAGTAACCCTGCATCTGAGGAAGGTGGAGGGAAAGAAAAGAGTAGAAGAGGCATAATCCCTAAGAAGGCTGTAGGTTTCTTTAATTTCTTAGACATTCCCTTCAGTATCTGCCCAGAGACCCGGGAGTTGGTCCTTGTGGGAGCGTCTCCTGGGATCACCAGCTCAGTTCCCTGGGCCAGTGGCTCAGGGAGCTAAGGAAAGGGCGGCGCGTCTGACCAACGCGGGCCTTGTCAGTGGGGTACACACAGGCACTGGAGGTCAGGAGTTGGCTCCTGGGCCAGAAAGGGGGTAAAGAAGCTAGTCCCTTCCCCTTCACCTCCCAGTGGCTCTCAGCTTAAAGAGCAGCTCCATGCATCATGGGCTCTGCCCACCTTTGCAGTCGGCAGCCCAGCCCTGAGGCTGGCCCGGCTGGGCGGGTAGGTCTCCTGGACAGAGGGAGCCCAGCACCAAATGCCCATTGTCACTGGGCTGAGTTAACTGACTCTCTGAGGGTCTCGTCTGGGTGGGCAGGTGGAGCTGGGGCCCCTGCCCCACAGTTTCCCTGGTAAGGGAAGTCAGACACAGGAGCAACGGCCAGTCCAGACTCTGCACGCCACAGGGGCTAGCCTGGGACAGCAGCCGGTGTCTACAGCACTGTCCCCGGGAACATGAGGTTGCATCCTGCGAGCTCTGCCCAGGCTGCAAGGTCCACAGAGACAGACTGCGTCACCTGTGAAGGTCCAACAGCTGCCGTACAAATGAACGCCCCGAAATCGGGAACATTTCACATTTTGAAGCCCCCACTGGATTCAGTACCATTAGGAATAAAGTTTTCAAAAAACCCAGCTTTAACGCAGGTATTATTACTTACTTCGTTGACTCAACTGCCCCTTGGATCTCTCTTGTAAGTAATAATGGCAGTGAGATTGGAAAATACTGAATTTTCTTATTTCTTTGAACTTTTGCAAGAAGCTTTGCTCCTCCTTCTGGGTGTGCGCCGCGAGCACCTCCTTGGTGAGGCCAAGCTTCCGGAAGGGCTCCTTCTCCTGGCCGAGGCCACAGGGCAGGGCGGCAGCTGCCAGGCAGTCCAGGGAATCAGGCCCGCTCACGGCGTCTTCCACCATCTCTGCAACACAACACCCAGGCCTCTGAGCCATGCGCCCCTTGTGTTTCGTTTTTAAATTATTATTTCTTTTTAGAGATGGGGTCTCGCTGTGTCGTCCAGGCTGGAGCACAGTGGCCATCATAGCTCACTGTAGCCTCAAACTCCTGGGCTCAAGCGATCCTCCCAAACTCGGCCTCCTGGGTAGCTGAGACTACAGGCACACGCTATAATTATGAACAAGACAAATCATTCACGTATAAAATCACCTCGAGGCATGAGGATGAAATTCACAATGTCCTTATTTAGCTTTCTGAGAACATTCACAGTAAAAGGCAAAAACAGTGGACAAACAGGCCTGATTACCAGCTGGCTTGGAACCAGGTAGCTGAGCAAGCTGAGAGGTAGGTTCGGAACCTTAGAGCTTACCCCTAGGCTGGCCTTAGGGCTCAGACCACAACAAAGTCAATGTGGGTCTTTCTGGGTTCAGGACCACGCACAGTGGCAGTCGGGACCCTGTGGGGCCGTGGGGGCAGACAGGACAGGGGACAGGTAGGGCCCACTGACCATCTTGCAAGGGAGGGTTTGGGGACTGCATCTCTGATATGTACTTTTTCTTCATCGTCGCCCTAAAATGAATTCAGGATTCATTTTGATCTTAGGGTTCTGAAGAATAAGAAAACTCAGCCACGAATGCCCTTGGCTGTAAGTCCTGTTGCAACCTGTACTGGCTCCTGCACGTAACAAGGAGGGCTAACGGGTCCCTCCTTCTGCGAGGCTGGGTAGAGGAAAGGCCCCCAGCCTCCCTAGGGAAGGGGAGGTGGGGCCTCGCTCCAGCCTTCTCAAGGGGGCTCCTGCCCCACAACCCACCCTTCCCTATCAGTGCCCCAGCAGACGGCTGCCACCAGGTGGCGCCAGAGCGCACGGGGACCTGGACAGGTGTGGTGCTTGGGCCCAGGCTGGCCACACCCCACCCCTGCGTTTTAAGCAACTGGATTTCCTGTAACCCCTGATTGGGCTACGGTAGGGTTCTTCTGCACATAGATAAACTTTAAGAAAAATTAAGATGGCAGTCGAATGTCTCATTTTTAAAGTCAGATTGCTCTCTGATCACAGAGCCCAGTCATACCTAACTCCGGTTGTGGCTTTTTGTCCCCCACGTGAACGATGGTGCTGCTGTAGCTGCACTGGCTGGTGAGGGACACCACGCTCTCGGCCTTGCCGGGCAACGTCAGTGAGGTCAGACGAGTGCTGACTTCCGCGTGGCTGTTCACTGTGGGGGGCGACGCTGCCTCTGTGAGAAAACGGAGGCAAACGCGAAGCACGGTTCACACGGCCCCCGGACGCGCAGCGCCGCCTGCCCAGGCAGCACGCGATACCTCAGTGACCGCAGTCTCCACGCCGCGGCACGTACCGCGCCCACACACGGCGTGGCCTGGGATGCCCTGTCCTCAGGGTCTGCTCACAGGACGGGGGGAAAGAGGAAATCCTCAAGTGGGGCTCGTCACACACTTAAACCCCGGGCCCCTGGGAGGAGGCGCAGGAGCTCGGCGCTGCGGGGGGCTCTGGCTGAGGGGTCTGTCTGGAGCCAGGCGGCCCTTCTGCCGGCCCGTGGGGGCCAGCGATGGTCTGGGCGATGTCGGCAAGCAGTTCGCTCTACTCTGTGGGTCAGGGCCGAGACCACGCGATCACAGCGTGGCTGTCCAATCTCCTGTGCTTCATTCACCAATCGGACACTCTATTTCTGATCCTGGTAGGACCACCGGCAGCGTTTGTAATCTTTAAGCAGGCTGAGATCTAATCGGACTTACAGGCACGCTTCCGTTCATAGCCAGGGCTCCTCTGAGATGCAGTGCAAGGAAGCCTGCCCTGGAATGGCAGCTCAGGACCCGTGAGGCTGCAGGAGGGCCCAGGGACATCCCCTGCTGCCAACAGCCCACTGGGCTCCTGTTCTCAGAGCCAGGCCTCCAAGGCCGGAATCACTGTCACCTCTAGCTCGTAAGAAGGTTGCTGACTTTTCAACTACTTCAGTCATTTTAAAAACAGCCCATACTTACGTTATATCCAGAGAAGCCACCCAGAATTAACATGGGAGGGAAGAGAGGGCAGTTCAGGGCTTAAAGAGCATCTGATTCCAATGCGGGGGGTTTAAGTTATTACACACTTAACGGCTCGAAACAGCTCAGATACCTCTGGCGGGCAGCCCGGGGCTGACCATGGCCTTTCGCTTATCGCTGGACCTCAGCGCCGGGATGTTTGCTGGGAACTCGCACTTCCGCTTCAGGGTGGCGGCCTCGCTGCAGCTCTCCAAGTACCTGCAGGGAGGGCGCGAACGGTGGCATCACGCAACGCCAGGCGGGAGGGTGCGCGAGATGGCGGGACGTCAGAACGGCTGGTGTACCTGATGACGCTGTCCAAGCAGCTGATCTGCTGGTAGGAGCAGGCGGGCTGGCTCTTGCAGGCCAGTTCCTCGGGGGAGCTGGCCTTGGAGACGCTGGCCCCAGAGCTGTGCTTTTCTGTGGCAGGCACGGCTTTCATCTGAGCCGGGGGACTACTTTGCATTTCTGAAAAAAGACAAAATTGTTCTTTCATTTAGTGCTTTTCCCTGCAAAGAGCACACTCTCTAAAGCACATTGATTCTACCTGAGGACAAGGCTGGGGACTCAGAACACGCTTCGCAGACAGACACACAGTGACGGCTGGTACGCAGCAGCCCTCTGGCAGGAGCGCCCTGATGCCTCCGCAGAGGGACCTCACAGAGAGCTGTGACCCAGGCCTGGGCCTGCTTTCCTCTGGGGTCCAGACTGTCCCCAGGATCAGGCGCTCAGCAGTGGCAGAGGTCAGTTCTTGAGGGAACTCCTGCGCTCGAGGGGCCGATGAGATCCCCGTGCTATGTTCCTCCGGCAGGGCCGGTGTTGCCACATACAGTGACCGCCTCCCACACCATGCCGTGGGTTCTGCTCTTGTCCCCACCACATACAGAACATGCTGGTCCCCCTCGGGGCCCTCAAGTGAAGAGCCACATCCAGCTCACTAGTGTGTCCCCGAGACCCAGCAGAGCCCAGCACGCAGCACATCCACCCACATAACCCAAAGGCTGAAACTCCCGGCGCTGTGTGGCCAGGCGGAGACACGGGGCGGGCGCAGTGTGCTCCGGGCCGCCACGTTCCCCACGGGAGGCTTCCTGCAGGAGGCGAGGCTGAGCACAAAGAATGAGCAGAAGCTCACCGGCGGAGAGGCCTGGGGTGCACACGTGTGTGGGCACATGTGGGTGCGCATGCTCACGTGAGGAATGCATGCGGGGCAGAGGGGACAGCACAGCCCTGCGTGGTGGCGTGAAGCCACCTGGACAGTGCGGCAGCGTGGGGAGGCGAGGTCTCTGCAGTGGGGGACTGACAGCCCCTGGCCACGCTTTGTACTTCACACAGGTTTGCTTGAGTGTTCGCCAGACACTGGGCAGACTCCTGGAGGTGCGTGCGCGTGGGAGGTAAGCGTGTGAGCACGTGGCCACACCCGGCCACGCCGCGACAGGCCTGTGGGGCGTCTGCACTTGCGGCGTGAGTGGAGGCCCATGCGGCCCGGCCTCCCCACGGAAGCTGGACGAGCAGGGGTGGAGCACAGGTTGAAGAGGTAAGCCCCTGCCACCCGGAGTCAGCGTTAGACCCAGGTCCCTCTGCTCGCCTGGCCATATGGAGTGTTATTAAGGAAACGGTGAATTTTTTTTTTTTTTTACCTGAAACAGAGTTTTCCTTTTGCTCTCCAGGTTCATGAGAATAACGACTTTTGGGTTTGGTCTTGCCGCCACTTTTACAAGTTTCCTTGAAGAAAAACGAAATGAACACGTTACTCCGGGAGACCCCTTCAGCTTGTCCTGCAGGGAGGACAAAGAGTCGCTGGAGTAACTCCAGCAGCGCAGCGACTTGCGAGTGAGAAAGCTGAGAGACGCACAGCTGCACGAACTGATCCCACAACCCTGAAGAAGGACGAAAAATAAAGTGCAACGGCCCACGGCACGTTCTTCTGTCCCACGGCAAAATCTTCGCTTTTGCTTGTTTTGCCTGCTTTAAATAGGTTTCATCCAAATCTTTACCCAGTTCCTAGCTGCTTCGACTAAAAGACTTAAGCGTAAGTCCCAGGGAACAATTTACAGGGCAGGCAGAAGCAGCCGAGGCTGTAAAGCCGCAGTAACTGCCCAGCGCAGCCCTTCAGCATGCGTTTTAACTTCCCGCGAGCATCGGCGGGCGTATTTTCTCAGGGAAGGAACGGAGTGGGACGTACCGATCTCCTCCGGCGAGAGTCCTCGTGGCCGTTGCTGTCGCTGGAGGACGTCTGGCTCATGAGGTGCTCGTGGGACCCGTTGCTGCCCAGACTCCCGTAGCCACTGGAGCCGCTGTGGGGGACGGGCTGGGGAGACAGCAGACAGTGCTGTGGACGCAGCCGGGGCCGCCGAGCTCACCGGGGAGCCGCAACGCATGGCAGCCCTCCCAACAAGCTCTGCTCCACAGAGAGGCTAGTGACCTGCCCAAGGTCACATGACAAGGACGAGGGGGCCTTGGGTTTGAACCCCTGGGTCAGGCTCCAGAGGTGGACTCCCGGCCTCCACCCCAGGGCCCTGTCCCCAAATACATGGCCCATCAGGGAGAGTCCACTAACAGGGAATTCGTTCAACCCGCTCATCAGCGTACGGGCCAGTCACCAGTCTGTGGAGGGGTTTTAAAAACAAAGAAGGACGCGGTTACAGTCTCACGCCACAGCCTACAAGTGAGAAGCAGAGACCTACTCAGGCAAGGGCCTGATGGGGCTGATACTGATTTTTCTTGAGTACGATGTTCCTAAGTCCCAGCACTCTGGGCTGGAGTGAGCCCTACACCGTGGGGGGTCCCCTGCAGCCTGCCAGGGCGTGGGGCTGGGGCGTGGGCCTGAGCTCGTCCCGCATGGCTGCAAGGCTGGGAAAGGCCAAGGACATGGCGGGCTGTCTAGGGGTGGCACAGACCACGCCCAGACCAGCCCCTCAGGATGTTCAGAGAACGACAGGAGACGCCTGAACACGTGTGCCAGGACCAGGGTGCGGGGCGGAGCTGACGCCCTCCACAGGGGTTTGGACTCCAGACGCAGGGGCTCGCAGGCTGCCACATGGCAGGGGAGCGCGCAGGCCCCACACCCACCTGCAGCAGCAGCCGGTGGATCTGCTCCGTGAGCTCCTGAATGCTGGGGCTGGGGGCCTGCTCCTCTGCGCATGGGTGGGCTGTGAACACGTCCTCGTTCAAAGGCCCCCTGTGGGTTTTGATTCGTCTTGTTAGACGGGGCCCCACGGGAGGGCCTCTCTGGCCCTGCGTGTACTGCGGCCCCATGTTGCATGCCGGGCCTCCACCTCCCACCTGCAGCCTCCCAGGCTGCCGCCTGTCCGCCACCCACTCTGCCTGAATGAGGTCCCTCCCCCCCGCAGGGTGGAGGCAGGTCACCCCTCAGCCACCTGCCCGGGGCTCCCGCGCAGGTAGGTGGCAGGAGGTGACTTTGGTCCACTTTGGTCCTGGTCTCCAGCCCCTCCCTACACCACGCGGGGGGGAGTGAGGATGGCCCAGGACCCGCAGGAGAGCCTGGGGCCGCCAGACCCAGAGTACTCACACCCTGACTTTGTGTCTCCCGATGATGAAGGCGATCTTCCTGCTCCACGGGTTGATGAAGCTGGACCAGCTGGTGTCCAGCGTGATGTACTCTCCATTCCGCGCACGGAACCGGATGGGGGAGTAGTCAAAAGGCTGCCCGCCGGACTGCAGGACTGGGAGGGTGACAAACGCTGTTCAGAGTGTGGACAGGAGCAAACGGGGCTCACGAGAGAGAAGAGGTGAGTCAGGACAAACTCGGGTCCGGGATCACTTGCAAACACCTCCTCAGAGCCACTGCTTTCAACCCCCCGTTTTTGCTTTAAATTGCAACAGGGAGGTTGTCTCCCACAGGGGCTGTTTCATCTCTGTTGGCATTTCACCTGCGCCTGTGATGGCTGGGCTTGGTGGGGACGCGCGTAGTCCACTCCCCGGGCCCGGTCGGTGCTTTCCTAGCTGCAGCTGACTTGGTCTTCCCTCCTCCCCTCTGCCACCGAAGCCAACAGTAGAAGTGAGATGCCAGGGACTCAGGCCACGGCTGAGGCACAACTGGCCACAAAGGAACCCACACGAGTTTACTGCTCTCTGGATTCCACCTGGCGCGGAACGCGCTGGGACTCAGACGGGAGGGGTGACCCCCCCCCCCCCCCATCCTGAGTGGATCTGACTGGCCAGGGCCTGGACCTGTCTCGGAAAGAAGCCCTAACTGCACACTAGCTCCGTCAAATGCTCGAGGGTTTCCGTGAGAAGGGGACTTACTCCTTTTGTGCACAGCCAGCATCAGGGGCCTGTCACTGGGGTGAAGCTGCAGGAGCACCGGGGTCTCGATCAGGTCCTGAGGTAGGTAGCCAAGGAGGGGCACCGCCCTGGAAGGCAAGCACACACACGCTAGGACGCCGCCTCCAAACCGGGAGAGGCCGTCTCTGAGAACCATCTCGTTCACCGGAAAAACGAGCAGACTCCGAGTTCCCCAGAGGTCAAGATTTGGGCGTTGGGCTAACAGAGACCAGCTGGCCTTTCAACTCATTAGCAAATGCAGATTCCAGGGTCCCTGTGAGTCCGGGACCCAGCGAGGCTCCATTCGTTAGGGCCTGAGTGCTGCAGCTTTGTGTCTTATCTCCTGAATCAATCATGATGATGTTTTTGCTTTTCTTCTCCTAAGATCTTTTTCTTCTTTATGTCATTCATCAGTGTGGTCATGTGCGGCCTGGCATGGATTTCTCTTGGACAAGCTTTGTCCAGGCCCTGGAACACCCTTTCTGCGCATCTTCTCCAGCGGAGGACGTTTTCCTTCTCTTATCGCTTTGGCCACTGTGTCTACTCAGCTTGCTGTGGCTGCTCCAGGAGTCGCCGTGGCTGGCTGGGCCCCTGCCCTTTGTCCCCGCCTTCTTGCGGAGCTGCCACTGTGCTTTCTGCCACTGTGCCCTCGCTGCCCCCGACAGGCTGGAGCTGAGCTTCTGCAGCGCACTCTGCTGCCCCAGCGGACGGCCTCCTCCTCGCACCCAAATGGAGGTTTCCCAAACTCTTCTGCTCCTGTGGGAGGACACTCTCCCTTTGAGTCTTTATGTTGAAGCTTCCGTGCTCTGTGCGGCACAGAACTTTCTCCCCGGCCTGGCATTATTCTTTGATTTTCTCCTTCTTGTCTGAGGCACTCTCTCTCCAGGCTTCATGCTTTCCTTCGGACAGGAGGTACAAAATATTCCTGGCACCCTCCAGACCAAGGCTCAGCCAGAGGAGGAGGAGTAGGAGAAGGACAGAAAGGAGGAAGAGGAGGGAGAAGAAAGGGACAGGGGAGGAGGGGAGGATCCCTGTCCAGCACTGGGGCTTCCCTAAGGAAAGTGCCACGTGCACCTGCCCCCCAACCTCCCTGCAGAGACCGAGCTGGACACCGCAGGGGTTTGCAGACAGTTCTTAGACCTTTGGAGGAGTAAAAATCTCCTGGGGTTGCTTTATAAATGCAGCTCCTGGATGCCCCCTCCAAGATTCTGGGTGGGCAGGGCAGGGTGGGGCCCAGGAACCTGCATCTTGAAACCATCTCTCTGGTGATTCTGCCGCAGGCGGTCTGGAGAACACACCTGAGCAACCTGGAGGTGACAAACTCCTGTCTGCTCCCAGAGCAGCATTTCCCCAGGAAGCTGCATGGCCTGACTCCAGGGGTGGGGACCTTGCGTCCCTGGGCCAGGTGTGGACAGTGGGGAGGACCTGATCCTCCACAGCTTCTAGGCAATCTGGTCCGTTCCAGGAAGCCCAGCACGCTGGTGCTTCTCGGTCCACTCCCTGTGGTGTCTTCCAGGACACCTCCCCCGACCTACTGCCTGCAGCCCACAGTGCTCTCCGTGTCTTCATGACTCTGCAGAGGGGCTGGGGGGACACGTCTGTCAGTCGGGGCGGCACGCAGAACCCGGTGCTCCTGAGTCTGAGCAGGGTCATTCACACCCGCTGCAATACCCAGGGCGGGAGACCCAGGGAGAGGGGCCCGAGCCGGGCTCTGAACAGAAGTACGGAGAGGACCTGGTGCCTGCAGCAGCCTCCAGCACGCAGGCTGGAAGATGAGCTTCTGCTGGGATCCTGCCAATGGCACCTCCAGCTTCAGTCCTAACTCTGGCACTAAGTGCACTGTCCCCGCTTGTCCCGTCATCTCAAAACCACTTTAAACACGCCGGGCGCGGTGGCTCACGCCTGTAATCCTAGCTCTCTGGGAGGCCGAGGCGGGCGGATTGTTTGAGCTCAGGAGTTCAAAACCAGCCTGAGCAAGAGCGAGACCCCGTCTCTACTGAAAATAGAAAGAACTTAATCGGACAACTAAAAATATATAGAAAAAATTAGCCGGGCATGGTGGCGCATGCCTGTAGTCCCAGCCACCTGGGAGGCTGAGGCAGGAGGATCGCTTGAGCCCATGAATGTGAGGTTGCTGTGAGCGAGGATGACGCCACGGCACTCTAGCCCGGGCAACACAGTGAGACTTTGACTCAAAAAAAAAAAAAAAAAAAAAAACCCACTTTAAACAGGATGATAAAGACAGGCCTCGATTAGAACAATCGCCACCTCTCCAAAAGGCCCCAATTACACTGGGATCGTATCTTACGAAGTTTCTAGCATAACTCCATGATTATTTCATTGCCTATATATACTTAAACATTTTTGTCCCTTATCGTGTAATTATAAAACCAACATGCATCCTTGGCTTAGCTAAATAGCTTTCACATCAAAAACATGTAAATTCCTTGAGCTTTACTTAGTTCTTATTAAGTCATTACCAAGATGATGATAAAACACCAAATGTCTTGTGAAGGAATCCAATGATACGACAAATGAAATACTGACTCCAAGACAGGCAACAGCAGAGGCAGAGCAGGTGGAGGGGAAGGCCAACACCACCTACCTTTCATCTATGTCCTGGAACAAACAATTCGGTGTGTGGGTGGTTGTAAAAATTCTCTTTTCAGGAGGAATTCTAGGGGCTGAAAGAACAGAATATTTCACACATTTCTGATTATAAGAAATACATATTTAATGTCATTACATTAAAACTACTAGAAAATACCATGTAGATTCAGAGTAATGAGTAGCTAAAGAAAAATTTAAAAAATTAAAATGTGGACTTTGAACACCACAGGGAGAGCAGCCGGACCCTACACTGGTAACCACCAGCCAGCCGTCTCGACTTCTTTGTGGACTACTTTTAGTTTAGTAAACCAGGAATTACACGTTAGCAGAACCGCATGCCTCACATACAGACCTCTCTCAGCAAAACCATGCTGGAAGGCCATCTTCGTGATTTCTAAGATGAAACAAGAACAATCTGAACAAATTATTTTTAGAAAATGAATCACATACTTGGATTCAAAATTCTTAGTAGATTTCATTGTGCTGGAGAACTTCACAGTTTCTAAGGTGGGCAAAGGTAAATTTGCATAAAGGAAGTCACATACCCCAAATTTTCTTCAACTACCAAATTCATGGATAAAACATTGAAAATTCCAAAATTTTTCATTCTTGAAGGAGACTGACAATTTGGGGGAGTAACTTGCTGAACACTAAGGGCCTTCTCTAAATCCTCTTTGGATATTTGGAGGAGAACATTCCATACGCAGGGACACATCAAACATTTTAAAGAAAGTCACATACTTAAAACATTTCATCGCTTCTAAGAAGTGCTTTTTAAAAAAAAGCCATCGTTAGCTACTGAGAGAAGATCACAGTACAAGGGAGCGTGGGCTGAACTGCATTCCTGTGGTTAAGCAGGTGCATGCGGCACCTGCTGTCACAGAATTCTGAAATCATGTGGCTCGCTCAGTAGTGCCCACGGTTACTGGCTGGCGGCTGGTGCAAGGACTGAGGTGTCACAAAGCAGTCTCGAGAGGGATTACAAGAAGGGTATGATCGAGGTGGCACAGCACCTTGGGTCCTTTGGGTTTTAAAGGAAGCTCCCAGATTTAGTTTCGGAGGCTGGGGTACCCCAAGGAGCTAGTGGCAGCAGGAGAGTCACAGGCCAGATGAGCAGCATAGGGACTGGGCTTCTACAGGCGAGATCGGGGGACAGTGCCAGGCAGAGGAGATGGGGGAGCAAAGACGGGGGGTGGAGAACACGCGGGGTACGCGGGCGCTACAGCAAGTTAGCTGACTGTCTGGAGAAGCCAGCGTGTGTCTGGGAGGAAGGGAAGTTCAGGGAGAGGTTAGGATGGGCCAAGGCAGGAGGAAGGAGTGCCCGGCACTTTATTTTCTGGGGGGTGAGGGACTGTTGAGGGTTCTGGAGCAGGCGGTGGTGTCGCTGCCCTTCAGAGGGGCCCAAGAGGCTGAGGCATTGGTCAGGGGGACAAGGATGGGAGGGACAAGAGGCTGTTCTCACTTGTGGACAAAAGGCAAGAGGGAGAAGGGGTCACAGCAATGGTCTAGACAGGGCAAGACATGCCACAACCCGAACTTCCACCGGGAGGGCTGGAAGACAAAGGGGGTGCGTGTTGAGTCCCAAGTAGGATGGACACTCTGCCCAAGATGGGGGAGAGGCCAAGGCTGGAGACCTGGGGCAGGGGTCAGTCTCGCAGACCTTAGGTTTGCACCATGGGAGTTACTGAGGGCGTGGCTGTTACCTTCATAGCCGGAGTGCACTCTCTCTGCCAGCAGGAGGCAGCAGAGCTGGCTCTCTGCACCTTGCCGGTCCCACACCTTGGCCAGGTAAGGCGTCATGCGGAACGGGTGGTAGCGAATCTCATTCTCGTGGTTCTTGCCAACGCTGCAGAGAAGAGCAACACCAGAGGTTTGGAATTGCCACGCAGGAGCAGTCCCCTGTTTGCCAGTAACATCCTCACATGGGGACCCAGGCCATGCTGGACCGGCAGGCACCTCTGCCGGCCTAAGAAACAGGGCCTGCCACCTGCTCTCTCAGCCCCTCCTCTCAGTCCTGTCACGCTGAAGGACAAATCAAAGGGCCGACACCCTGAACTGGTGGGGGTGTCTTCCCAGCCCTTCTCTAGAGCACTTTGCATTTGAGCAGGGCTAAGTGGACAGGAAAGGAATGATTCTTCCACCATGGGGTCCTAGGTCTCCACTCCCGAGGGCCCCGGGGTCTGGCCTGGGGACTCCTGACAGCACAGCTGGACACTCAATCAGTCAGTCAGTTTCAGGCCAAGAGCCTGTTGAGAAAGCTGTGGGACCTCCCCAGAAAAATGCATGTGCAAAGCAAAGGATGCATGTGCTTTCCGAGTCCCCGAGGACCTTGGGAAACATGCCTTCCAGGGTGACAGACGGCAAGTGCAGGGTCCTCTGGCCAACATTTTCCACAAGCAGGCTAAAGCACTCCACTGTTGGTCATACTCTTAACACCTCTGCACATTTAAAACATAACTTACTCAAATGTGTTTTCATATAGACTTTTCAGGAACACGTGTGCCATGTCCACGTGGCAGAGCCTCTGCCCCTGAAGGCCGGGAGCAGGCAGGGCTCAGGTCCCTCAGCCTTGAGCACAGTGAGGATGGAGGAGCATGCACGTACCTCCTAAACCTTACAGCAGGTGCTGGGGGTGAAATGCTTGTGCTGTTTTCTTTTCTTTTTTTTTTTTGAGATAGGGTCTTGCTCTGTCTCCCAGGCTGGAGTGTAGTGGAATGGGCCTAGCTCATTGTAGCCTGGAGCTCCTGGGCTCAAGTGTATGGGTGTGTGCCACCATGCATGATAAACTTTTTAATTTTTTGCAGAGATGGGGTCTTGCTGTGTTGCCCAGGCCGGTCTCCAACTCCTGGCCTCAAGCGATCTTCCTGTCTCACCCTCCCAAAGTGCTGGGGTTACAGGTGTGAGCCACTGCTCATGCCCAATGTGCTGTTTTCTAATTTAGGAAGACTGGGAACTGGGCTTACCTGACACGGCAAAAGAAAGATTTTTCCTCCATGCATTCTTGAGCAAAAGAATCTAAAAGGAAAAGCCTGAAGTCACTGAACCCATTAAACAACCAAATACAAACAGTGTTCTTTACTGCTCGTGCGCTAAAGAGAGGCAACGGAACGAAGAGCCAAGGTGCAAAGCTGCAAACGCGCCCAGGCACCAAGCGTGTCCTTTAGGTTAGAAATTTTCATCGCCTTTCCGATGAAGATTAAATATATTTCAAAGTGTGGCGCATACCAAATCACACAGTGCTGAAATTTTGCAGCAGGAGTCTCACATTTTTGCCCTGGTGTGTAACGCTGCTACCCGCACACCAACACTGGACTCTGGAACTCACACTGCCGGACGTGCAGAGTATTTACATGTATTTTGTAATATACCCCTAAACATTTCAAGCTGCGTATTTCGGGGATATTCAGTTCTAACAGAAACAATTCAGGGCATTTCAAAGCTTACATCAATACTTCGGTAAAATATTAATTTACTTCAAAATTTAAAATGTCTAGTAAAAACATGAAATCAATTGAGCAACCTCATAAAAAATGAGGGAATGGGTCTTTCCACAGTAGTGTAAAAAAATGTGTTAAAAAGAAAATTAAAAAAAAAAAATCTTAGACCTCGATTTTTTCATGTAAAATCTACTCAAAAGAAATGAGGAGAAATTACTAGTTACAGACAACGTATAAAATTACCACCTTGGAAAGGCCTCTGAGCATTCACCTGGTCCTTGTTTATTGGGACGAAAGTTTGGTTGGCTCCACGCTGGGAGACGGGGCCAGCTGCTGACGCCATTTCCCTCCCACGCAGTGGCCCAGCCCTGACCTTGCCCTGCAAACTGTGAGGTCCGACCGGACGTAGCTTTGCGGGAAAGTAGGCGGACTACATCTGAACCCACGCGCTCCTCTCTCTGAGCCACCGTGACCAAACTGCACGCACGTCCCGGCGGCCTGCGGTAGAGCGTGCGGCTGTCAAGCCCGCCGGGGACGTGATGGCGGCATCCTCCCCGGCCCCCACTGCAGACTGAAAGGGGATGGGGGAGGCGGGGAGCGGGCCAACGGTGGGGTACGCACACCTGTGGGAGCCCCCAGCTCAGGGTGGTGAGCCCCCAAAGGGGTACCCACCTGAAGGGAGCGTCCCACGCTCCCCGCCGCCCCCAGCCCCCACAGGCCGCGCGGTCAGGCCGCGATTCCAAAGCTTCAGAACAGCTTCATTTCTAAAATGTCTAACACGTCTCGAAATCTTCTGAAATGCTTTTCCCACTCTGAAGCTTATGAACAGACTTTTTTTTTTCTCTGAATTTATTCTGAAGAGAGGAACAACTGCTCACATTCTACCTCTGACGGACGGGCGGTGGCGCCCCGCCTGGGGCTGGGCCCGGCCCCCGGCCCCTCACCCCGCCACGAGCCCCCAGCCCACCGTGGCGAGGACCAGGCGCTGCCGCAGCGGCCTCACCTGCTCTGCCGCACGCGCCCCACGCGGGGAGCTTGCAGGGCGTGGTGAAGCTGTGGAACACGCTGACGTCGTGAGGCGCCAGGAACTCCACGAACTTGGCGTCGCTGAAGGTGTCTCTCTTACAGTGAAATATGGACGTGACTTGGTCAGACACGTACAGCATTTTCCCAGTCACCAGGGACACAGCCACGGCAAACATATCCTGGGAAGGAAGAACAGGACTCCAGGCACGGTGGTCTGGCGGGGCTGGCAGGCAGGCTGGCTGGAGGGAGCTGGCCACAGGAAGGGCCGAGGGGCTCTGGGCCCCTCTCAGCCCCAACCAGACCAGCTCCACCTTCCTGTTACGTACACTGGGGTCCGACATGATGGTATCTGAAACACAACAGGGTTCCTGCGCCAGAAGGAACCCCAGGCATCCCCACGCTCTGGCAGGTGCCACTCACCCCACTGTCTTGGACACGGTGTCCAGGCTGGAGTGACTGGGAGGTGGGACGGGGAGACCCTCTGCTCACCTGGCCTGTCACAGCAACCTCTGCCCACCCTGCCTCTCCCAGGGCTCTGGGGCTGCCCGGGGAACAGGAGGCCTCTGGCCAAGCCCCTGCAACCCACCGCAGGCTCTCTCCCTGCCGCTGGCCCTCTGGGCTCAGGGCTGGGGGCTGCCTGGGGCTTCAGCTGGAGGAAGGAGAAGGATTAGGGAGCCCCATTCTCAGGCCAGCTTCACCATGATCCCAGCACATACTAGTCCCCACCGGGCCCTTACATCTGTTCTCACTGACTGAGAACTTGGGGCGCTGGGGATATGTGTATGTGTGGCCCATACCCCCTTCAAGGGGCCCACCTTTATGGGACACTTAAAAACGCACAGGGTTTTGGAGTCTCAAATCCTAGCTCCCCCTCAGGACCACGAATCCCGGGACACGTGAGCTGACTGTCACCAGGTCTGTCCCCTCTCCCTGAGGACATGACACCTAGATCCCCTAGCTCGGTTGCATTGGGCTCGCTCCTGCACGCATGAGCTGTAGGGTGCAGCTGGCCAGGGACGGGAAGGACAATCTCACAGAAGAGGCAGAAGTCCAGAACGTGACTGCTACTTCCAGAATCACTGACTTCACGTTTTTTTTTCATAAAAGGTGTGAACCCCGCTCCTGCATCCCCAGCTCCTGCTGTAAAGCCACTGGCCGCAGCGGCCCAGCTAGCTCGCCGGGGTGAAGAACTCGCGCCGTGCGAAAGGGACGCTTACCACGTTCTTGCCGATGTGCTCGGAGGTCACACTCTCCATCTCCTCCACGGAGTAGGAGGGCACGTCCGGTCCGCAGGGGTGGCTCTCGCTGGACATCAGCAGCTGGTAATATTCTTCATTAGCTGCAGGAGAAACCATGTTCACGCTCCACGGCAGACCCCAGGGAAGTGAATGGAAACTGTCGCTAACTCTCATGTGCCGGGGGTTGTCCTTTCTCAAATGAAAAGTGGAACATGGACACTACCTCCTGGGACGCAGCACACGCAGAAATGTGAAGGCAAGACAAACTCACAAACAGAAATCTGGATTTTTTCCCGTGAAAATCAGGAGGCCTTTGATGATAGAATGTTTTTTCTTTTTTTTTTAAACTTGGAAATCTGTGTTGGGATGATTACAGAATTTTTAAAAATGATAAGTACATTATTTTAAATGACATGGCCGCAGAGTCTGCCTGACCCCCACCTTCTCCAGAAGGGTCTTTAACTATGATGCAACATCAGCGTGTCCATGCAGGACCTCAGCTGGCAGCCCCTGCATCTGACTCCTTGGGGGACCCTATCAGACACTCCCATCCGGGCAGACTGGCTGCTTAAACAAATAGCACAAGAAATGACATTTGAAAGAAAGTGTTCAGAATAGAAAACGAAGACAAGGCCACTTGATCTGAGTCCTCACGTTGTCCTGGGCGCATGTGGCAGGATTTGGGGGTGACCAAGCCTGTCTCTGGGCATCGTAGCTCACAGGCTGCAGCAGCCCCCACCCTAGAAGGGAGCAAACAAGCCGGCTCCAGGCTGCCACCTGCCCTCAGAGCCCAACAGGCCCTGAGACGGATGGAACCGGAGCGGCATTCCAGAGTCCAGCCCGGGAGTCCACCAAGCGCGTGCCTCCTGCCACGTGGTGGGGAGACCTTTGGACCCGCAGCTGTGTCTCATCTGCTTTTGATTTCCCCACCTTCAGAAACTTCAAAAAGGGGCAAATTTCTCAGTATGCTCTCTAATCAAGACATAAACTGCTGGAAAGCACAGAGGATGTCTCCATTTGGTAGCATTTTCAGGCTCTAAAGTTAATACAGATGCAAAGAATGAAACAACCTAAACACAGCCAATTAGCTGCAATGATCTTGCCCCCCAGCTCCTCCTTCCAAAACGGGGTGCCCCCGCAGGCGCGCTCCCCAGCACCGTGCCCTCCACGGCAAGGTGCATGCCCTACGGCACCAGATTCCCACTGGGCACCTCTGGGCTGGACCGGCGCTGACCAGCCGCAGCGACACTCTGCTCTGACGACAACGACCCTCAGCAACGGACAGTGGGCTTAGGGAGGAGCCTGCAGAGAAACTGGGGTGGAAAAGGACCCCCAAAACCTGGCACCAGCCAGCGCGCCACAGAGCAGCGGCTGTTCTACCCCTGGCTCAAGGGACCCCAGAGTGCCGATGACCTGTTCTCTAGCAATGAAAGGTTGCCCAAACATTAAAAAATATGAGGACTGTGTGAAACATGGGTTTATACCCGCAATTATCCGCGGCGAGCCTGCCCTAACTGCACACCGTGCCTTGAGGCAGTGACCGATGATAACAGAGTAAAGCTACCTTCACCTCAGCCTTTCAGGTTTTTCTTTTTACACGTTTTCAACGTGCAGGACCCTCCAGCACTGTAGGGCGCTTGAGCAATGCAAGGACAGGACACTCGTTTGCAGAGTGGGCGGGGGGCGGTGCTCACACTTCCACTGGTGGGGGGTGCAGCTGCTCTGTAGGGCACCTCCCTCCCCCGCCCCGGCTGACACCGACTGATCCTCACAGCCGACCAGCACGGCTCAGGAGCTGGTGGTTTCCATGGTAAAGAAAAAGGATGCACCTAAGCCCACAGCGCTGTAAGGTCAGGAATGCAGACGTGGATGCCACCTCCAAGATTTCTGCTGTTTTCTCTGAAACACTGGAGGAAACGGAATGCTCCTGAAGATGGTGGACTAAAGGCAGGGTTTCTCGGACCTTTGTGACCAACGTCTATAGCTAAACCATCCTGGATGACCCCAGTGCAGGGGTCTCGGCCCTCAACTCTAGGGACCGGCTGTGGGAAACCAGGCTCTGGGTCCACGAGATGGTGCCCAGCCGATTCCACAGAAGTGCATTCCTGCCCTTCCTGGAGACAGAAGCACCTGCGACTCCCTGAGCCCAGGAGACAGGGCACCTCCCGGTGGGAGAGCCAGGCCCGGCAGCAGCTGGAGGAGGACGAAATTCTACTGGGAGATACTTAGGGGCTTGGCAGTTTATTGAGCAGTAAAGCATCTGAGCTTGTGGATGTGAATATTTCTGGAACTTGCAGTGTTTGTTCATAGATTCCTGCACTGCACCTTTGAAGAGTTTGGCATGTGTATTCTCACATAAAAGCCTTAATCTCATACATGACTGACCAGTTCTATAAGTTCTTTCATGTTCTGCCATCCAACAATAAAATCCAAATATATACACAAATGGAAGCAGGATCTATTAAAATTTGGAGGCCCCATTACTGCCCGTGTGTGGTGGAAGGTGGCGTTCTACCTGCCTCCTTCTTTCCTGGCTGAAATGACCACCAGGACAGAAATTCACGCATTTCTACATAAACAAGAAACGAACTGCCCAAGGTCTTGAACCAAGAAGCTCTAAAGTAATAATCCTTTAAGGATAAGATCTGACAATTCCTTCCCTCCTGTATCTTTTGACATTATATTTTAAAGGCAGGACAAGTCCCCAGCTAAATGCTGAGGGATGTTTTGCTTTAATTCCATTCTGAGCTGCTCATGGCATCAGGCCGCTGTCACGGGTTAGGAGCAGTGTGTGATAACCTTCCTGGACTCGGGGTTATCGTCCCAAACACCAGTGCTCCTGCCAGAGCCCAGATGATGTTGGACTCCCCTGATCATGACCCGACCCAGCCCAAAGCACAAGAAGTTTGTTTCTCCTTTAAATAGAATACTTCCAACGTGTTGAGGTTCCCCATCAATGGCAGCTTTGTCAGATTTTTATCATTTCCTTCTGCTATTTCAGGAATGAGTTTTAGAAAGTCAACACAATCCAAGCTGTAGTTTGGGGGCATTTAAAACAATTTCTATAGATTTGGAGCCGATGTAAGGGGCAGACATACCTTTCACTTGCTTCACGCTCTTCAGGGCGTACTTGAGGGTTGCCAGCGTGCTGGCCTTCCCCGTGGCCTTCTTGTCTGCAGGGAGGTGGACCTTCAGCTCCTTCAGCGTCTGTATCAGTTCCTTGTGTGCGTCTGCTTTGGCAGACTGGTCACTACTGCGGATTCGAGAAAGAAGCGATGAAATGTTAGCGTCCCATTTTCTCAACCTCGGGGCTCACCAGACGTTTTAGTCCGGGCAGTTCTTTGCGGGGCTCTGCGAAATGTCTGGCCGCATACCAGGCCCCGCCCACGGTAGGTCAGCAGCACCTTCGCCAGTCGTGGCAACCAGGAATGCCTGCAGACACTGACAAATGTCTCCTGCCAGGACGTAAACTGTCCCCAGTTAAGAATCATAGCTCTAACCCCAGAGAATGCGGGAGAAGTCCCTCCAGCTGGGTTCTTTCCCCCGAGGAAGAGCTGCCGGTTGACCCGCGGTCTGGCGGAGCAGACTGTGCTACTGAGCCGCGCCTTCCTTCCCTGTCCCAGGCAGAAAAGGCCTGAGTGATGGGATTACAGAGGACAGCAAGTGACTTCCTGGGACATAAATGTGAACCCTGAGCACAGAAGAGAGGAATGAGGGCTTCTGAGAAGGGTCCTCGAATGTAAGGACACAGAGATGGCGGGCAGGCAGGACACGGGGCACGGCCGGTGGAGATGGACCATCAGAGCAAAGGGGCCCAGGGGAATGACGGGATCTGGCTTCTGCGGTGACGGCAAAGCGCCCGCATGCCCAAGACTAGGAGCTGGACTTTGCTCTGGAGGTGACAGGAAAATATGGACATAAGGATAAATTTGTTACAAATACTCTCAAAAGGGTGAGGAATGTTCCAGATGAACATGCCCAAGACTCAGGCGAGGTTGGCTTAGAGTAGGGCTGGGAGGAGCTTTACCGGTTGTGCTGCAACACTGGGGCTCTGAATAGCCGCAGGGACACGGTCAGAGTCTGAGAGGCCGGGATGCGGCCAGGTCACACCAACACGGCCACGCAGACTAAAAAAAGTCACGTCACTCCCAAAAAACTAACCTCCAATACAGGGTCTCTGAAGACACTAAGGGACTCCCTGGCCTTACCTGCAACCACTTGTGGATGGGTTGTGTTCAGACTTGGCCATCATCAGGCTGAAGGCATTTGGACTGCAAGAACAAGGAATAAAAGCAAAATTTAGGCAATCGTACGCTCCATCCACTTCCTCCCCCCGTCCCGCCAGTGATAACCAGCTAGATAATACCACAGCAAGATAATTTTTTAAAAATACAAGGGTAAGATAAAAATGGAACATAACACCTTCAGATAACAGAAAAACTAAGTATTGGGAGATGGAAACAAAAGATCAAAGGAGCAAGTTCATTTTCCATAAACTGCCCTAACTAAATTTTAGTTATTCTGCATTAATAAGATTTTCAAAAATTTTGAACAATTTGGTAATCCCAATTTAAAGATTGCAAAAGCAATCATACCACAAGGGAAAGGAGATGTACTGAGAAACCAAAAGCCTGTCCAGCCTCAGCCCAGCCGGAGGGGCACCGACCTCTGGTGGGCAGCCGGCGGCTCCACCAGCATCCCCAGCTCCTTCCCACCGTCGTCACAGTCGCTGCCCCGCGAGTCCCGCCCGGTGGAGCAGTTCTCATTGGCCTCGTTTCCGCTGGAGCCGCTGCTCATGTCCACGTCGTCCTGGAGCGGGGCCTGGCCGGGCTGGGGCTCTGTGGGCCCCCGGGTGGGGTCGGTGGGTCTGGAGGGGAACTCCGCGTACCCGTTCATGCCGGGCTCCGGGGCGAAGCCTGCCAATGAGAGCAACATTGTGAAGCACTGAAAAGACACACAGGTGACCATGGAGCCATCGAACGGAGCAGCTGTTTGAATCTTTCCACACGTTTTACTACACGAACCGCAGTAGTGGGGATCAATCGCACACATGTCACTGCACCACGTCCCTCGTGTTCTTATTTACTGAGCTCCTACCTGTCACGAACGAGGAAGACGGGTGAATTAGGCAGCGGAGGTGCAAGGGCCTCATCAGAAGGCAGACAAAAGCACGATAATGATCCCGGCACGCAGGAGCTCTGGGAAAACACAGTGCCACTGAGTGGCCGGCGGGGCCTGGGTCTGCATTTTGTACGTCTCCCAGGTGACGTGGGGACCAGCAGGCTTCAGAAACCTTGGCCATCACGGCGCGGTACAAGTTACAAGAGAAGCCGAGGACAGTGGGTGACTTCGGGGGAGATGAGGCTTGTTGGGTGAAGAGGGCGGAGCGGGTCCAGCAGGTGCGGAGCCCCCTCAGCAGCTCAGGGGTCCCAAGCACTACAGGCATGTGCGAGTGGGGGTGGGGAGGGGCCCACGCGAGGTGGGAACGGTTAGGAGCCCCTGAAGCACTCTGAGCAGCAGCCCCCGGAACTCAGCATGCATGCAGACGGGCCCCGACTTTGGCGCTAGACAGAAACTTTACCTTCGGGGCTTTGGAGGGGGTGGAAAGGGCTGAAAGTAGAGATAGACCAGCCTCAGGCTGCCACAGTCATCCCGGAAGACAACCTGGGCGTCAGCGAAGGCAGTGAGTAGGGAGCGGTGGGACTGACTAGCAAGGGGGGCCACCAGCCCAAGTATGGGGACAGTTCAGTGTCACCAGAAGAAAGGAGGACCCAGGATGGTGTCTCTAGTGGGGCCTGCCAGGAAGCGTGTGACGATGACACTGCATGACAGGGCGTGGTCCAAAGCCGGGATGCCCTGAGGGATGGGGGAGCGGCCATTCGCCCCTGGCCGGAGAGGCAGGAGCATGGAGCTGGGGGAACCCAACCCCGACAACCCGCCGCCTCTCTCCTCCGGATCCCACCTGGCCTCTGATCTGCCAAACTCAACGGGAAGCCAGAGGGTGAAGGGACCTGCTGACTTGGGCTTGGTGGCTGGGTGGCAGCGGTCCCTTCACCAAGGGGGTGTTCCCAGAAGGCAGAATGTCCCTCACAGCTTCCACGTGCTCAGGGAAACAGACCAGACACCGGCAGAGTGCGCTGGGGGGTGCTGAGCGAGGGCTCTGGTAGGTGCCGACGACTGGGGACAGACACACAGCTTCTGGGAATCCCACGCCCACTGTCTACGTTGTGTGCAGGAAGCGGGTCTACGAATGAGCCAGCAGGGGCAGGTTACTCACTCCAGGCCACTCAGCAGCAGGTGGCAGAGCTGGATTCCAGGCTACCTGCCTCTGAAGGGCCCACCCCACACCCAGGATCGCTCAGGCAGGGTCTGCTGCCACCTGCCCTGCACTCGGGGTTTCTCTGGGCACTGACTCTGGCCCAGTGTGGCAATGCTGCTTCTGCGTGGCATCCGCTCAGCCCTTCCCAGGGCAGAACAGGGGGAGAGAAGGGCTTCTAAATTCTGTACCCCTGTCTCCGTGAAAAATCTTACCCTCAAGTTCCCACCGAACTCTGGGAAAGCATCCCCCTCCCACCTCCTTCGCACGGGAACCCACGTGAAATGACTAAGCGTCACAAAACTGGTGGGGGAGGGGAATCGTCGTCAGCCGCCCTGGAGTCTGACTCCTCTTGAGGAAGTGGCCCCGTGCCGTGGACCCCTGCCACCCCTGGCCACCCAAGGAGACGGTGGAGCCAGGGGCCCAGCCAGACAGGGAGCTCTACTGCCAGGAAGATGCCCGTGAGGGAGCAGTGGGGGAAGGACGGTCACAGAACAGAAAGCCTGTGGGAAGCAGAGGTTCTCCCGGACACGCATCCTCACTGAACACCCCGAGGTCCCGTCTCCAACGAGGCAGCTCTGAGAAAGGGGCCAAACCACCCAGGAAATACTATGAGGACACACAAGCAAGGAACCACTGCTGACAACTGGATCCCTGAGCTCCAATATGACCCTTCACCCCCCAGCCCCAGGTCCAGCCCGTGCAGAGGGAACCGCTCCAGGGCGTCCAGGTGAGAGACGGACCCACGCAGAGTCCAACCACATTCCTGTCTGGAAAACAGCAGGGCTGATAAGACCTTGCCATGTTCACAGACTAATAAGCAGAAAAGCCAACAGGGGGCTTTGGAAAAGACACATGGCAAAGACGAGTGAACACAACCCTCCCGGCGCGGAGGAAACAAGCAGACTTAGGGCAGCACCTGCTTTTCATGGCGAGTGAAGATTCAAGAGAAGACGGATTTGATGAAACAAGTAATGAAGAATGAGATAAAGCCGCAGACCGAGATGAAAATGCCACCTTAGAACAGAAAATTAGAAAGGACAACGTTCAGAGTGAATGAAGAAGAAAACGGGTTCAGTGAATGAGAAACACGCGAGAAACTCCTAGAACGAGAAAGGAAAGAACCAATATTACACGCAGGAAGAGGACAGAGATGGAGAAATACGAATTTTTTTTTTTGAGAGAGAGTCTCACTACGTTGCCCAAGGTTGGAGTGCAGCGGCGTGATCAGAGCTCACAGCAACCTCAAACTCCTGGGCTCAAGCGATCCTCCCGCCTCGACCTCCCGAGGAGCTGGGACTACAGGCATGCGCCACAACACCCAGCGGTTTTTTTCTATTTTTAGCAGAGATGGGGTCTCGCTCTTGCTCAGGCTGGTCTCGAACTCCTGAGCTCAAGTGACCCTCCCGCCTTGGCCTCCCAGAGCGCTGGGATTGCAGGCGTGAGCCACCACACCCGGCCCAAAGCTGAGTGTTACCTGTGGATAACAGCAATTTCTGAAAAAGACACCAGAGTACTGAAACAGACCATAATGAAAGATACATGTGAAGAAAACCACCCTGAGCTGAAGGCAGGTTTGAATCTGCCAATCAGAGGACAAGAGTCCAGTGTCTCAGGACATCCTGATGAAGAGCTACATTCTCGAGGATGAAGAAAATCCTAGCAACATCCAAAGAGGAAAAACAAACAGGTTGCCTAGAAAGTGTGGAAAATCATACCAGTCTTGGGCATCTCCTGTGCAGTACTAAATTTCCAGAAGATAATGTCTATACATAGCTTTGAGAGGAAAAGGTTATGGTCAAAGGGAAGAAATATTGATTAGAGGATACTTGCTTATTATGGGTTAGACACCTGGATAGATCAATACCCTGAGTCACAAAACCTAACATGCCACTGTTATTCCAATTAAAGTCAGGAACAAAATAAGCAAGGCTGCTCTTCCAGTCTTTTTCAACATTTCATGGAAGTTCTAGCTAATTCGATGAAAGACGAAAGGTAACTTTGGGAAGAGACAGACTAAACACAAAGGCTGTGATGAAGAGAAATACCAAAGATCTGTGAACTTGTGCAAAGATGCTCGACCTCATCAGCACGGGGAAAATGCAAAGGGTAGGGTATTTTTGCCCATCGGGTTACCAAAGATTACCAGGCTGGTTGCATCTAGTGCTGGAAGGCAGAGGGGGCGGCTCTTGTGCACGGCGCTGTAATATTAAGTCTTTCTGGAGGGAAATCTGGGTGCCCAGCAACACTTCTAATCTGCACGCTCACACTCTTCCCACTTTTAGGAATCCACTGCTTGGAAATACTTGTACGTGTGCACAGAGATGTGTGAGCATAGTGTGCAGAGTAAGAAAAGCCTGGAAAGAACCACCGGCAGGAGACTAACGGCATCCTACCCACGGCACCCCATCTACTGACCACCCTGGCCAGGCGCCGGCCTCGACTTCCAGGCTGGGCTCCTGCCTGCACTGGCCCCACAAGGTCAACATGGCGGCGAGAGTGATCCTGGTGGAAGGAAGGTCAGCTCACACCGCCAGTGCTCAGACCCTTGCTCTGACTCGAGGGGCTACGGGCTCTGCAAGGTCCAGCCCCCGCTACCTCCTGTGCCCACCCCTTGGCCCCAGCCCTGTGCCCCAACCTCAGGGACTTTGCACTTGCTGCTCCTGGAACCCACAGCACTCTTCTGCAGATGCCCTGAGCAGCCCACAGGAACAGCACCGGCTCCCCGCTGTCTGCTTCTCCTCCCTGGCACGGACGTGTTGGGCAGTTTACCGTCCGCCCTCTCCAGGACGTAAGCTCCACGAGGGCAGGGGCCTCGAGGTGCCCACTGCTGGGCCCCCAGGGCCTGGCACACACTGTCGAAGGCACAAAGCCTGGGACATCTGTGCTGTGGAATACTAGGCACCCACTAAAAGGAGGGAGTCCAGGCTGACTGATGTGGGAGACTCTCAGACTCTCAGAGACGAGCAAGTCGCAGAACAATTAACAGCAATAATAAAAAGGACAAATGGCACTTACACAGGACTTGCCGCGTGCCAGCAGCTTCCTGCTGGTTAATTCGCTCTTACTGTGCGCAGTGCTGAGGGCCGGCGTGAGGGCGGACTAGGGAACAGCCACCTTCCCGGCCCTTGGGGAGCTTAATTCTAGGGGAAAACAGACAAGCAACAAGGAGCTGGAGCACACGGCACATTAATGACCAGTGCTAGGGAGAAAGACACAGAGCAGGGGACAAGGAAGTGGGTGTGGGAGGGGCTGGGCATGAGGTTTTAGGGAGGGTGGCCAGGCAAGGCCCACGTGTGGGTGGCATTTGACAAGGACCTTGCACACGAGCCCTCACGTGTGCTTAGAGTCCCTCCGCCTCGCCATCTCCCAGGCCCGCAGACACTCGCTTCTCCCAGCCATTGCTGGGCACGTGCCCCAGTGGCTCCTCCTGGCTTCACACCTGAGGCCACCCAGAGCATCTGGCTCCACGGCCTCGGGAGGACTTGAAGTGCCACACCACGGCGTGGGCCTCATTTCCCCGGCTGCTGCCACAGGGCCCGGTGAGGGACCTGGACACGAGGGAGAGCTCATTCCTCAGGGTGAATTTTGACCACAGGAGACTGGAGATGGGAAGGAGCGGGCAGAAAACCCCCTCCACGTCCTCCTGGCATGGACTGTTCTGAGGCTGCCTGCCTTCCTTCCGCCCCCA